GCATGTCTAGCATCTTTATGCAACTTCGAGGTAGCAAAGAAGCCATTCCCCTCGTGACAAGAATGGATGCTCTGCCTCCTGCCCTTTGAGAAGATGTGGCTTAGCTGTGAATTGTCCAAGTGCCATCGGCCATGTCCAGTCATTTCTCGTGCAGCAGCTGCAGCGTGCAAACGAGTATTTTACACGTAACAGTGGTAGAAACAGCTCACGGCGGCCACTGACAAGCAGCAGGTCCCATCCTCAGTGTACATCCGTTCTCACGTCCTCCTCGTTGTCTTCCTGTACGAGTGGTGTTTCAGAGAACTGGGATCACTCCTGCGCTGTGCCACCTAGCTGGTGCCAGTGCTCTTGCCAGGCCTGGAGCTGCATGTAAGTTGTCCTTTACTTGATAACTGCTGTGTCATCTAAACATTACTAGGCTCCCCTCTCCAAGTTTTTGTGTTTCTCTACTCATAAAGGTATGACTTTCCTGCCAGAAATGTAATTTTGTTCTGGTTTCTGCAAAAAAAAAAAATGTATTTACCTGTGCTTATGCACATGTGATCATTCTTTGACTACAAATTCTTGTTTTCTTTTGGGACTTAATTCCAAGTGCCATATTGGGCTGGGCATTGACCACAGCCTGCTCATGTTCTCTCCACTTCTGTGAAATTACAATTTTGAATTGATAAACTTTACTTTTTTGGAGCAGTCTGAGATAAACAGAAGAAAATGGAATTGTGTCTTAGTGCATTTCCTCTTGTTATAACGTCTGAGAGCAGGCGGTGGATTCCTAAGAAAGTAAGTTTGTTACACTCAGGATTCTGCAGGTTGCACTGTCAAAGAATGTGGACCAGCATCAGTCTTGCTTGCTGTTAGATCTTGCCAAGGCAGATGGAATCATATGGTGCGACAGAGCCAAGGTGTCTGTCCTTTTCTCATCAAGTCGTTGGTGCCGTCATGGAACCCCATCATGTCCTCATCTAATCCAAACAGCCTTCAGACACTGCAGCATGATGTCTCCAGTTGTGAACAGTAATGCTTCCTTGGAGATCTTCCTCTGAGAAACAGATCTCTGGGTAGTTGAGAGCTGACAGTCAACATCTCCTCTCTTCACAGCTGTACCAATGCTCAAACAGAAACCGATGTAACATTCATCCGAACACTTGAAAAGAGATTTTACCCGAGAGTTTAAGTTAAATGAAACAGCGCATCCTTTTTTTTTTAAGGTTGAGACTCACTGTATTTTTTTTAAATACAACGAAACTTATAATACCATTTTTGGTCACATGTGCACATGTGTTTTTAACCAAGGTGGGCACTCAGCCAAGAGTTCACCTGCACACTGGAACTCATATATCCAATGTCTGTGTCCTGGTTTCAAGTCTAAACTCTCTCCTGATTCCAGCTCCTTCCAGGCTGGAAGGCAGCAAACTCTGGGAGACAGCAAACGATGAAGTAGGCAGTTAGTGAGGTCCCTTCTCATCATGTGGGAGACCAAGACGGAGTTCCCAGCCTGACCAGCCCTGGCTGTCTGCAGGGATTGGAGATGGAGCCATTGACTGGAGACCCCATTTTCTCTGTCTCCTCCCACTCTTTGTCATAGCTTTTTAAATACCAAAACAAGCATGTTTTCTTCTTGTTACTTAATTTTTGAAAGCTTAGTATGTAAGGTTAGTATTTTTTAGAAAAGGAACTGTGACTATTAGGATTTTTGTGTTAGTATTCCATTGACCTCACCTCCAGTTTGGTAACGCTTGTTGCTCTGATGTAATTCACAGCCACTTTTCGTTCTCAGTGTTGTCCTGGACATGGAATTACGGGGTCCAGAACCTTCGTGTGTGATCAGAGGATGGCATGGAGAGATGGTGGGAAGTATTGCATTGCAGACTTTAATCCAGTGGTGGGATTCAGAGTTAAGGATATTTGTGATAATGATTTTCATGAAGCAGATAATAATTACTCATCAAGTGCAAAAAAACCCACCAAAGTTGCACGTAATGAAGAATATAGGCTTTATGATTTGATTGAACACTCGTATTCTTGGCTGCTAATGTTTTGTTTTTCTATAAGAAGTTGAATGCATGGCTGTGATGTTAAAATACCTTCCGAGCGCTGCTTGGCCATCACTGGCATCCAGCTCATGGCCTGTGCCTGTTAGACACCCACGCCCCACTCGGTCATTCCCTCACCCCCCAGTGCCTAGCTAACAGCTGTGTGGTTCAAAGTAGAACCACACAGCCTTTGTCTCTCAGTGCAGTGTTCTGCAGGTCCACCCATGTTGTAACATGAGATCAACAATCTGCTTTACGTGTGTCACATTCTTCCTAGTGTAATCGTTTGTTTGTTTGAATTCTGGGAAGTGTGATTCCCCCAGCTTTACTCTTTAAGATCCTGTTGTTTTTTCCAGGTCACTTGGGATTCTATAGAAATGTTAATGTAAGCTTTCTCATTTTGGTGGGATCCACATGCATTCACAAGGTTGGGAGTCTTCCCCAGTTCCCCAGTCTTTTCCGATCATCTCACCCACTGGGCTCTTGCATCATGAGTGTGCTTTGCCTTGCAGTAGCAAGCAGAAAAGGATAACAGATGCCCCATTGAGGCAGGTGGTCTCGTACATTGGGGCTGGTTTATCCATTTGGAAAGCACTCTTTCTAAGGAGCAGTGGCCCTAGTGAGCAGTGGCTAAACGATACAGCGTTTGCCTTGTTTGTGTTTATCACACTCTGAAGTGCCTGCAGAGCTTCCCTTGCTTGGCTGTAACTGTTGTGATGCTAAAGGAGACCAGGTTTTCTGTTCTTTCACCCTCTCACCCTTGGCATCTTGCTGCTCCATTGGGTAGACTTTCCCAAGTCTTTCTTCCCTCTACTGACCTCACAGTGTTTGTTCCATTCCCTCTGGAGCTGAGCTTACCTTGTGGCGGGTTTACCCCTGTCAGAAATCTTGAACTTTTGTGACTTGCTCTCTGCCTCTTCTCCTTACTAAATGTGCTTGCCACCTGCCCCCAGCACTTGCAATGAACTTGTTTGTATTGACGCTGTGGCCACAACTCTACTGACCAGATAGCGGGTGCTCAGCTTCGAATGCCTCTTCAAAATTCATTTTGAGATGCCTTTGCCATTAAAGCAGCCTTGAGAGAGGAGGTTTTTAAGGGGTAATAAGGTAATGGGGATGCCCCATTTGTGAATATGCTGAGGCCTGAATTGTTCTCTGGCTCCCAGCTGGATTCAGCCATTGGAGACGAGAGCAACAGATGAGACAGTGGGAGAGAGAAAATGTGCCATTAGTATTCCTTTGATTTCATCTGCTGCCCCCCATCTGGCAGGGCTTAAAAGAGGTTGTCCTTCAATGCAGCCCTGGCTGCACCCCACAGCTCCCGCTCACTGGCTCGCTCGCTCATTGCCCCATCCAGAGTGGTGGCCTCCCCTCTTTAATTGGCCCTTTGTGTTTTTCTATTCCTTGCCTTCCTGTAACCCGAACCCATGACTGTGAACAGTTCCAGTTGGCAGGTAAAGTTATAGTGCTTTAACAGTTGGACTATGTTTGTAAATGTTTCCCCATGTGGAATATTAGCAGGTACACACCTCTGCGAAGTGTTCACGGGGCCGAGTGAACAGCAGAAGGAAGGATTTAAAGGACCCACATCTTAGATTTCCAATTCCTGTGGAAATGGGGCCAGCCAGTTCGTCTTTTCTAATTCTGGGCACACAAGTAAGAAGTTCTGTGACAGTCATTTGGGAGTATAATCTATATTTATCTCTGTTCCTGCACCTGAAACCTTTTCAAAGTGACTTAGGTGTTTCATGTGCTCCTGCTGGGTGTCAGTGTTTCTGTTCCTAGGGCAGCAGTGGAGGCACCGTGGTGCTTCTTGTAGCTCATTTGAAGTCCCACCTGCTGGGTGACCCCTTTGGCCTTTCCTTTCTAAAGTTCTGTGATGTGCAAGGAGAATTTGGGACTGCCATGCACATAGTGTGAGCTACTGCTCACTTACCGCGGGGCCCGTACTCCTCGTCTGTTCCTCTTAGAATACTGCAGGAGATGGGAAGTGAGAGGGGAGGAGGGCTGGGAGATGGTGCCTTGGCGCTACAGCTCCTGTGGCAGTCCTCCCGCTAACAGCCAGTTCTCATCCCTCCTCATTCGAACCCTGTGAAAATAGAAGAAGCCAGTAGGCAGGACTTCGGAATGCACCAAGTCAGATTCTTCCAGAAGAATTACCCTAAAGTCATCTGAGCCCCATGGGCAGCCCATCGGAATCTCGCTGCGTTGTGTTTATAGCCTGGGTCGGGGTCTTCACTAAGCTTTGTCTAACATAAGTTCAGCCCTTCTCACAACTAGTTATTAAAATACACCATTTAGTATCTATGCCAGTTAGGTGTACAATCCATTCAGGGACAGAAATAAAAACAATTCCAGTTCATGTTAATACTTTGTAACAACTAGGACTGTGTGATTTGTAATTGATTCAAAAGGAGTAACTATTTATTAAATGCATTGAATGCCATATTTCTAGTCTGTTGAGTTTTGTGAGTAACAGTAAAATAACCTCTGAGGAATTGCTTTATCTAACTGTTTTTCGTGATAGGAAGAGCCAGCGTTGTGGCACGTGCTGCTAGACTGCCCCACTCCGCCTCTGGAGAGGCTGGTTTAGACACCTCAGGCTCCCCTGGTATCAAATAAGAGAACTGGTGTAGCCTTTTTCTTAAGGCTGCTTCCCATATTACATTTCTTCAGTCCCATGGAGTCATGGCCGAGGCCCATGGCCGTCCAGGGCTCCTGGCGAAAGCAGTGCCAGGAGCCACACTGGACTGGACCCCACCAATATGCAGAGGCAGCAGCAGATCGCGACTGCTGGCACTACTGGCAAGCATGAGCGATGCTTCCGTGGTGACGGCCACCTGCCTGGCTTGTTGTCACCTTTGTCTGCCGTGTCTTCTCACGAAGTGGCTCGCACTTGCACCTCACTGCTCGTCACAGACGTGCCGCTGACTGCTGTGCTGACCAGCTTGCCTCACTGTCTTCTAGAGACCGGGTGATCGGTTTGATGATGACGGCCTGTGACCTCTGTTCCGTGACGAAACTGTGGCCGGTTACAAAACTGACAGCCAATGACATTTATGCGGAGTTCTGGGCCGAGGTATGTCTGAATCTTACACTAACATAGTTACTGTCGAGAAAAGGCAAATGTGTGAAGAGAAATTTAACACATGGCTGTTCACTGACAGTATCTCAGCTGCTCACATGTCGTTTCAGGAAGGGCAGAGGGTTGAGCAACTCCAGATCCGCAGCATGGGGACAGCCATGCGCTGCCTCCTCCCTCCTGACCTCAGCTGCAGTGCTCTGGGCTGCATTCCCTCAACAGCAGAGTAACAGGGCTCCCCGGCTAACAGCTCATCTGTCCAGTCAGCCCTGCTCACTCCGGGACCTCTGCAGTAGTTAGGCACTTATAGGAACCCAGAATGCCATGGTTTCTAGTAGAACCTCAGGGGAGTCATCTCGTTGTGCCAAGGAGCGATGAGGATGTGTAGACGTGCCCCCAGGTTGGCTCAGCTGGGAGGATGGCGGGATGCTGACGTGTGGTGTTCCTGACAGAAGTGTGAGTGATCAAACCGTCCAAAGTACCAGCGCCGAGCATTCAGCTCCACAGTTTGCTTTCTGAATCGTGTTTGACAAAAACAAACATCATTCTTCTTGCAAATGGATCACGCCTAGGTCCCTGCACCTTTCACGTTCAAGTGCTTCCGAGTACCACGCAGAGAAATAAACTTGAGGGCAAAAGAATTGTGTGGTTGGTGATCTGGCCATCCACTTCGCTCGTACAACAAAGGACACTGTTTTAATTACAGAGGCCTTTATGATTTCTGTTACTGAGTGTTCGGATCTGCCTACAGTCAGGCTCAACTGGGGCAGTCTTTGGGGTGTATATATCTGAAGAGTAGTAATATTTGATCTTATTGTTGAAAACAGTTTAATTTGCATGCTTAAAATTGAGAATACATTCTGAAAAATGGCCTGAAGCTAGCTACCACCTCATATGGAGTTTTGCCTAACAGCGGCATATTTTAGATTTTAACAATCGTACTTGTATTCTGAATGCGAATCAGAATGTGACAGAGGGACAAGCCCAATGGTTATGACGCAAGGGAAGGTACCTACATCACACGGCAAAATGCCTGTGTTTGACTCTGGCTGCCCAGTTCAGCTTTCCTGCTAATGCTGACCCCCAAGAGGTAGCAGCTGATGGGTCTCCTGCGCCCCCATGGGAGACCTGAACGGAATGGCCGCTGGCTTTGCCCCAGCCAGGCCCCAGACCAGCACCGGCCATTGCAGCCATTCAGGGAAAAGCATAGATGAGAACTCTCCCTCCTTACCTCCCACTCTTCCTCTCCCCTTAAAAAGGAATAAAAAGAAAAAAAAGGGGGTGGAATAAAAGCCATGTAGATCCTGCCTTACATCCCTCACTGATTATTCAGTCCGGGCATAGCAAGGAAGCTCCCAGCATGCTCACAAGGGCAGTCCCAGGATCACACTGCAAAGGCGAGGCAGTAACAGAAGTGCCAAGACCTGCTAGTTGATCGAAACGTCCCTCCCAGTGGCCTTTCCAGTGGCCGCATCGTGCCGAAGTCTGCCTTGAGCCCTCCGGGGTTGCAATGGGCTCCTGCCCTTTCCCCTCCGTAGTCAGTGTGGCAGTTGTCACAATACTTGAGGTTACAGTCTTCTGGCACTTACTCCGCGACTCATCCCTCAGCCACCACTAACACGTTTGCACAACAGCGGTGGTGATGCAAGGGTACTTTGAAAATTTCATGGGAAACGGAATTTAAATTGTTTTGTGCGGGGAAATAACATTTTGAAATCTACAGGCAGTTTTCCCATAACTCTTGTGAGAGCCTCCGTGTAACTGTGATTCCATCAGCACCTGCTTCCAAACCTCTGTCACTCTTATGGTAAAGACCAAGTACATGACCGTAGTGCAGAGAACCTCCGCTCCCCACCAGGCCTCCAGGCCGCTGTGCACAGAGCCCCTCCCCCTCCAGGCCACTGTGCACAGAGCCCCTCCCCCACCAGGCCCCTGTGCACAGAGCCCCTTCTCCCCCCCACCAGGCTGCTGTGCACAGAGCCCCTCCCCCCCCACCAGGCCGCTGTGCACAGAGCCCCTTCCCCCCCCCACCAGGCCGCTGTGCACAGAACCCCTCCCCCACCAGGCCACTGTGCACTGCCTGTCCAGACACATGCCTCTCTCGGCCGCCCGTCTTGACCACAGCCTCTCTCCAGGTGTCAGGCTGGCTTCCCTGTAGTCTTCCCACAGCTCTCTCCCACCCCTTCCTGGGTCCCACGTGGTGTGTGCTCACTTGCTCTGGGTATTTTGCATCCTCACATTTATTCGTGTTTTAAGTACATGTCCAAATCATTGTTTACTTAATATTTTGTTTCCTTTTTGGACCTTTAAGCTTTCTTGAAGTTGAGGGACTTTATAGGCTTTATTCCCTTGGGATAAAAACAGAAGAATGGTTTGAGAATCGCTTCTTTCAACCTTTAAAGTGATTAACGCACAGGCTGTACCTCAAGTGCTTTCATTGTTCGAGTAGATGTGTTACTCCTGTGTGTAAGAATTTTTAATGTGGGTATAATTATCAGTTTCTGGACACTATTTTAGCACATCTAGGAAGTTTGTAGTTTTGCACTTGTGTTTTCTAGAAGCGAGGATACAAAACATTGCTGAAAAATAAAGGTAATTGAAGGAAGAGCAGGAAGTTAAGAAAGTTACAAACTGAAGAAAGATGACTTTTGACAAGTTTTAAGAGATGAATATAAAGCCCACAAGATGGGGCTGATGTGTCTCTTGGGATTTGTGAGTGTTAAATGAACCAAACCTGGCGGCTGTTTAGCCCAGTGCCAGCAGCATGTAGACCTCCAGAGAAGAGACGGTGGGAAACCTCCTCTCGGTGCAGCTTCTCCTGCAGCAGCGTTCCACTCCGAGCTTCACGCGAGCCGTCCCGTGAAGGACGTGCTCAGACACGCGAAGGCTGCAGCTCCTCCCTGTGTGGTGGGGTTGCCTCTCCTCCCATAGCTGCATCTCTTCTGCATCACCTACACGGTGACGGCAGAGATGACGTCTGGGTGCCTGGCGATTCGGTACCAGACAGCATCAAGGTCACACCCCAGTGGCCATGCACCGGGTCTTCAGCATTTCACCAGGCCCTGTGAGTCAACAGCCAGCGGCAGTATTTATTTTGCAGCAAATGACTGAACAAATAGAACAAATCAACACTAACATCCTATGATTTATACGTGGAGGAACTGTGATTTCTCTCCTCTTGTTTATCTAGGGTGATGAAATGAAGAAATTGGGCCTACAGCCTATTCCCATGATGGACAGAGACAAGTGGGATGAGGTCCCGCAAGGCCAGGTAGGAACTCCAGCTGGACCATTCTGGGTAAAGTCAGACAGTGTCCGTGCAGGGATAGGAAGTTGCATCACCTTGTCATCTGTCTGGGTGTGGGCAGCAGGCCATTTCAGGTCTGGTGACACGTACAGAAACTCCAGTGATTGGCCTTTTGGCGTCTGGGAACTAGGGCAAGGACAGCCCTGTGCCGTGGGAAACAGACCTTTGCCTGCAGATGCGCCCTTGGTATCCAGTTGTGCCAGTGCAGAGTGCACTCCGCAGGAGGTTGGTTGTGTTCCCAGGCTTGTAGCTGAGGCAGAACGTCCAGGGAGGAACTCGGTGTGCAGAACCGGGAACCATCCAACCCCTGATGTGTAGGTGGTCCTGGGGCAAGGGGGGCTGAGGGAACTGAGATGTGAGTTGCAGTAAACAGCCTTGAGTTTCTGGCGTGCAGTGGATAGGATAGACGACCCTGAGTTGTCACTGTTTAGTAGCCAGTTAACGGTTTGTCATGAGCTGTGCGGTGGTCATCTGTGGAGAGTAACACGGATTCTGACTGAGGCCCGTTTTGTTGTGTACAAACAGTGTGCAGTGTTTCAGTGCAGTGTTGACTTCTGTTTCAACATAGATGGACAGGATTTACTACATCATTTTTCCATGGTCTGACAGTTCTTGTACCTGTGCGTGATTTTATAGGCATTTGCAATTGTGATCTTCCTGAGGCCAGCATTTTTTAGTGGGTTAATCTGCTGCCAGCATTCTATATCAGTGCTGGTTCGACCCCAGGTTGCTTCTCTTCCGATCCAGCTCCCAGCTAATATGCCTGGAAAAGCTTCAGAGGATGGTCCAAGTGCTTGGGGTCCAAGTGCTTGGGCCCCTGCATCCGCATGGAGCCCCAGAAGAGGCTCCTTTCCTGGCCCAGCCCAAGGTCATTGTGGCCATTTGAAGGGTGACCAGCAGATGGAAAACCCCTCTCTCTCTTTCTCTATCTCTCCATTTTCTCCCTTTCTCTGTAATTCTACTTTTCAAATAAATAAAATGAATCTTTTTTTTTAAATATGGTCTTTCTAGACCCCTAATCTCCCAGTGGTATAAGAATACAGTTAGTAATGGACAAACAATTATGATAGAGAATTAATCTAGAAAACTATTTTAAAATTTTACAAGGAAAGGACATTGGATGAGTTCTTTAGTTTTTCTGCTTTATTTAAAACCAGTTTATGCGTGAGTGTGCCGAGTGCGTAGTGCATGCGCAGCACCGGCTGAAGGACCAAGTGGAAAGCTCTGCTCTGGGTGTGTGTCTCAGGAACAGACTTCATCCTCTGCTCGCTGTGCTGCCGGACCCCCATGCTTCCGTCCTCACACTGAGTTTTGGTTTTGTAGTGTGCTGCATTTTCATTCTGTCACGTTGGCAGCCTTCTCACCTGTGGAGTGACCGAGTACGGTGTCTTCCATCTTTCCTGTCACATTTTAAAGTCCTTTCTCACCTTGATAGCGCACGAACCCCTGCCTGTGTTTCTGAAGCTGCTTTACGTTTCATTTCATTTCGTTGGTTAGTTGGTTTGAAATGTGTGTTCTATATATAGTTTAATGATGGAATCTAATAGGTTGTTTTTTTCCTTACAAATACTTAAGCAGTTAACCCAATAGAATTTTTAGGATGGCTGATAATTTCTCTTTGATGCTGTTTGGGCTGTGGTTTCTATTCTACAGATTAGAATTGCATATTCTTAATTAAATATGTAAGTAATATATATTATTAAATTAATCAAATTATATATAAATTGATTATATGCATATATAACTAGTAGTTTGTTTTATTGCCAAAATTCCAAGTCCATTTACAGTGTAAGAGTGTTAAATATTTCTGTGTCAGGTAGTTTTTTTGTCTGCCGTATGACTTCTAAATTTTTGATTATGGCAAAATTGTCCTTCGCCTTGACAGTGAAATGTCTACTGTACAATAACTAGTCTCTTTCTTGGCATCTTTTGCCCCATAACACCTGCCAATATCACAACGAGAAAAGCTATGCAAGAGACAAAATTAACAGTGGCCTACATGTCACATATTCAAAAGAATAGCAAGTCTTGTTTTAAAATGTCCACTGCATTTGTGCAAAAGCACAACATGGCTGAAGTTATAACTTGGCCGCTCTTTGAACAACTTAAGGTCTTTGGGTTTAACTTTTACCGTGTTTTCCTTTGAATGTGTTTTATCTTTAGGGTAAACTTTAGTGCGTTTCAAAATGAATTCCACTTAGTAATCATCAATCCCAAACACAACTAAGACAGACCTAGAAAATTCACTGAAGACACCTAGCGCCCGCTGTAATTGCTGACTCAGCTTTGTTTCTCATTGCTCCTTCTTGTGTCGAGGCAGCTGGGATTCTACAACGCTGTAGCCATCCCCTGTTACACCACCCTCACCCAGATCCTACCTCCCACCGAGCCTCTGCTCAAAGCCTGCAGGTACGTACCAGGCCTCAAGCTCTCCTGGTTTCAGAAAAACGAACAAGCAACTGAGACGCTGCAGGAGTTTCCACTCTGGTCAAGGTTTTGTGTCTTATCTGCACTTTGTGTAAGACTGAGTTAGCCTAGGTTCAAGAGTTGTAGGTGACCTAGTTAACTGGGTTCCCTAAGGTTAAGGCGATTCTAGTTGAGGCTTCCTTCTCTCCTTGGTCCACAACTTGGCACTAATTCTGTTTGTTGTGGCCAAGACTCATCAACACATGCAGAAATGGGTGATAGCATGGACCAGTGTCTGGGTCAGCCGACCAACTGCCAGGGGGTGTCTGTTCAGGCCCCAGGCAGGGTTTGGGGAGTCCTTCCTGCTTTCTGCCTTCTCTTTCAGTAAGCAGTTCTCAACTGCTCAAGCTTTGTCTAAGGCTTGTGCCATGAGATCTAATCTCATAGGCCAGGAAACCTCCCCTACCAGGGGCCCAAAATGACCATGACCTCCGTGGATCACACAGCCTTGACCGTCCCTCACTGGTCACTGCCCAAGTGCAGGAGAGCAGCGTTTCTTCATGCTGTCATCCGTGAAGAGCTGGTGGAAGAGGGAAGAGTTGGTGTTCTGCGTCTGTTTTCTTGTCAGGCAGAGGCCCCACCTGGGAGTGTGTTTAGAAACACTGGGCAGATGGGTATGCTGGGGCACTAACCAGCACTAGGTCTCGGCTTCAGGCACAGTGTATGGTTGAAATGCGGTTGGGCCTTACTCATTGCTTACTTTCTAACAAGCATAGACTGAGCCCTCCTGTTACCTGCTGTGGCTGTGGAGTTCCCCCTGCCCCTTCCTCACCCTTCCTGAAGGCAGAAGGAGGGTCTGTTGGGAGGTTACTGGGGGAATCTTCATCCTCCTTGTAGAAGTGCCCATGGGGTGCGGCCAGGCCCTCAGCCGCCACAGCCCCCAGCTTGTAAGTCATTACAGAGGTCTCTGCTCACATCCGCTCCTCAAGACTGACTCTGGGCCTTCAGCCAGGAAAGAGAACCAACCCATTCATGGGGCTCCTGCTGCCCGCCTCACCTCTCCCTGCCTCTTTGCTCCCTCCACAGGGACAACCTCAATCAGTGGGAGAAAGTGATCCGAGGGGAGGAGACGGCCTTGTGGATCTCGGCCCCACCGGCAGCCCCTGACGCCGGAGAGAAGCTGCCACCTGGGAAAACGGACAACTGACCAGGGCCAGGCCTCCTCCGCTGCGAACCTCATCTGCTTCTTCAAATTTATTTTATTTTATTTTATTTTATTTTATTTTATTTTATTTTATTTTATTTTATTTTATTTTATTTTATTTTATTTTATTTTATTTTATTTTATTTTATTTTATTTTATTTTATTTTATTTTATTTTATTTTATTTTATTTTATTTTATTTTATTTTATTTTTCCTTTTGTTTTTGTCGAGGGGGAAAGCCTACACCTGGGAACGGGGGTGCACGCCTCTGGCTGACGGTCACGGGCATCGAGGACAGCCGGCCACCGCTGTGCTGCCCTGGACTGAGAGACCTGGTCAGCGTGAGGGCTCCGAGGTCGGCTAGTCTGCGGACTCTCAGGCCTCCGAGGACATGGACACAAGCAATCCGGTGGCCCCCATCAAACTCACCAGGGTACTATGATGGTAAACCTCACGGCGGCAGTGGCTGCGGACCACTGCAGATGGCCGGATGTGGCCACCTGTGCACCGGGTGAGCAGTGGGGGCCTCAGGGCCGCAGCCCAGAGGCAGTGGAGGAAGAAGTGGTGGGGGAAAAAGAGAACAAACCAAAACAAGCCTTGTTTGAGAGCTTCACAGTCAGGCAGAAGTTCTTTTTGAGTTTATGCTGGAAGGGCTTAGATCCAGCTCACAGGGAAGGAAGCAGACTCCGCCCTCTTGAGGAGAGAAGCCGGTGTGCATCGTGGTCCAGCTCAGCTTCTCAAAGTGGCAATTCGGAAACTATCCAAGAAATTTTATTTTTAAAATGTTTTTCTTCCTTGTAGTCTTGGAAAATTTACTAACCTTTTGCATAAAGAACAAAATAAAAGCAAGGCATATAATTTTTTTAACCATTGAAAGTCTTATGAATGTGAAATGTGAATTTTTAATGATGATTCCTTTGTTTTTACTTGTGTCATAGCAAAAATTGAGACTCACATGTAAACAATGGGTTCAAATAGTTGTGGTTTAATTGAAGTGCCACATATGTCTCATAAACCAATGTTAAAACATAGAACTTCACCTCTGCAGTTTCCCTTTGTTCTGAGTCTGTGGGCCGCTGCCCGTGTCCATGGCTGCCTGGGCACTCAAAGCGGCAGGGGCAGCGGTGCCATCCCGTGGCTCTGGCGTCTCTCCCCGCTCACATCAATACCCACACAGAACCCTGGGGTTTGGTAGTTGCTTCTGTATATGGTGGGGCAGGAGGGGGGCGGAGGGAGGGATATGATGACTGTGCATTGGCAATGTCTTGAAGAAAAAGAAAAGTGATACTCTGGCCCCGTTCCTGCAAAGTGCATGCCACTTCTGGTGCATATCATGCTGTTCGAGGTGCTTGGCACAGTGCTTCTGGGGCTTCTAGAGCAGGTGGCAGTACCTGAGGGAATCTGAGTCCCAAACAGCTTCTCACATTCACCTGAATGGAAGCTGATAGAATTCATTTTCACAGTTGGTTTCTACGTATCCAGTGCTGTAGGCAGCGCTCGTCACCCCAGCAAGCTTTGCGAAATTAGAGGTCTCTGCAGCGTAGTGTGCGTTGTGGCAGATTGGCTGCACGTAAGCTGTGTTCTTAGTTTAAGATGAACACTGTATGTTTAATTTCATTATGAACTTCTTAAAATCACCAATTTCCCTCCATGGAGCTCCATTTCCTATTGAAATTACAGGCTACGAAAGAGAGAAATACCACTGCTGCTGGACACGCACACACACGCACACACACACTCTGCAGAAACAAATGCAGATGTATCTGTGACATGCATTTGTATGTATGTTTGTAGACATACTGGCTTGTGTATACACACAAGATGACAGGAGAAACTGGTGGAGACTACAGACATAGGGAGCAAGCTCATAGAGAGGAAGAGTCAGCCACGTCCTTCCAACCCTCTTCCCGCTGGGACTCAGTCCCGGGTGAGGCCGTGGTGACAAAGAGGGAGTTCATGGGTGCAGCCACTTTTCTTTATTTTTTCTGCACACAACTTTGTGAAACTGGATCCCAGTGAATGAAGCTGATCCCATCAATCTGAGTGAACTTAGCGGCGGAGTTTCAGGAGAAGGAATTATCATTAATACTATGTTTGAATCAAAAGTGTTTTAAAGAAACGCTTGGAGCCCCTTCCTGTGTAGAACACGCTCGTGGAAGTGGAGATCTCATCATTATTTTGGCCTTTCAAGATTGCTATTCTGATGAAATTCTTATAAAAATTACTTTAATCTGATTGGCTAAGTGTGACTTCTGCTCCGGACAGTTTCGCAGAGGGGTGTGTTTGGCTTCTGGAGTGGATTGCATCCTTGTGAAGCCACGGCGTGACAGGAATGCAGCTTGAAGAAAAGACTACATTCGAATGAGAATCGTCCCCATTCCTTTCAAGGAGTGTCCTATTTAGTTAGGAAACACGCATCTGCTTTAGAGGGCTCAAGTTATAGTGGTCTGTAGTGAACAGTTGTTTGGTGAAAAGAATGCAGTATTTTGGTAAATATATTTAGAATACACACACGTAGGGGTGCTGTCTTGTCTTTTCCCAGAACTTTTCTTAGAAGGACAGTGTGGCGTCAGAAGCCTGGCGGACAAGTTTTCAGTAACAGAAGGTTTGAGGAGCTTCTTGAGGGGGTGATGCATTTCACATTGTGCCAGATGTTCTCTGCGCAATATGAATGTGGTAAACTGCTGTAGATGCATGTAGAGTGTCCGCTTTGCAGTAATATATTCCTGTATGTGTATATATGGACCGATAACAGGCACGCTTTATGGTTGCTTATCATTACTGCATTATCTCTTCCGATTTTGTGAATCCATTTTAAAACTAGGAATGTTTTTTGGAAACATGGAGTTCAGGCAGTAGAGCATACTCTTGAAATGGAAGCATCTTACAGTGTGGAGACGACGCCACACGGCAAACTGTAAAAGCGTAGAAGGCAATGTGACAGATGGGAAAAGTAACGGTCAAAGGCATCCCTTTGCGTAGAGCAGGGGTTGTGAGGAAGCTCTGCTGGCGGGGAGTGGAGCTGGCATCCTGGGGCTTGAGAAGGAGAGGGTCTCTGTGAGCCCAGGCACACGGGCTCACAGCAGCGGAGACGGAGCTAGCTTGGTTCAGCATGCGTTTCTTCTTGCTTGCATGCTTTCTCTCTGCATTTTGCCTCCTGATGTGCTCATACGTACTAGAGATGTTTGTAAAGCTACCCAGACATCCTTCTGCCTGCGGACACCTGCATCTTCCTCTCCTCCCTCCTCATAGGTTTAGCTCTGAGTATTGTGTTTCTGATCTTCTGACTCCAAATTAAGGCTTGAGCTTTAATAGGACCAAATTATTCGCCAGGCCTTGATCTGTGCCTTTATTTTCAGTGTTGCCGTTTCACTTCTGCATTCATGTACTCATTATCTTTGCTCTTCTTCCTCAACTATGATGGAGAACATGTCCAGGGACACATTCGTGCTTGGTCTGATCAAGCTGAATGCACGAGGCTCTCCCGCTCAGGCGTCTGCGTTTGCCTTCATCGAGGCGCTTGATGTCTGTCCCTAAGGAACCGTTCGGATTTCCTTTCTCTCTGAAAAGCTTCCAAGTAACGTGACCCTGGTTAGGAAAAGCTTTGTTAGGGTGAAGGTACGTAAGCATGATGTCGACTCCGAAAATCAGTTGCTGCTTTATGTGTTTCTAATGTGTTGGCTTTCTGTATTTAGGGTTTGGAGACTTCTTCCATTCGTCGTGTTTGTGTCTGATTTTCAAATCACTGTATAATGTAAATTAGCCCGGTGTCCTCTTAGTTCCTGCTTTACCATGATTGTCAACACACGGTTGTTCGGCCCGTACACGCTGGAGCGTTGATGCTGGTGATTTTGCTGCCTCCTTAAACACTGATCAAGCTAAAACTGATGATACCTAGCCTAATATACTTTTTTTGTTCTTTGTCATTTTTTAACACTGGATATTTTGGTTGCCTAAAGCATTAGATGTATTTTATGCAATGACAGCAATAGCAAGCAAAAAAGAAAAAAAAGACTCCGTGGTGTTCTGGTCCCATTAAGAAGATAGAAGAAAGTGATCTTCATTTGGTTTTTCTGGTCTCTTGCTAACAATGGGATGCAGTTCCTTTTAAGTTGTACCAAGCTTGCCCTCAGTTAACTGCATGTGTGAGAAAGCCGTAACTGAGGACCGGCTGACCCGACCTCAGCTTTGAGGACACACAGAGCGACAGCACACAGACGTGAGCGCCCAAGCCTGGAGTTTGTCAAGCAGGGAAATCACTCCGTGTGTTTAGGTGTTCTACTAATGATCTTGAAGTCCTGCGTATGTGCAGAAGCTTGAGTGGAAAGCTTTCATTCCTGATGTAACTTACAAGGTATATTATCTAACACTCTGGCCCACCTAAAGTATCATTATATCATGGCTTTGCAGCCTGTTTCGTGTTTGGTCAGTTGACTACCTGGTCTTATTCCATGTCTCAGCCAGCCTATATAAAGGACATATGAAAGTATTATTTCCCATATGACCTGTTGTGTGTATGCTCTGTGTTCACTTAGTGTGCAGTTGAAACATACAATAAAATTATTCATAGATGGCATTGCTGCACAATGCCTGTACCTATTTGAAATTATGTGCTTGCCCAAAACACTGTGAAACCATTACCAAAATTTGTACAAATGCAGCATTTTGATTATTTCTGAGAAATCAAGGTGACTTTCTTTACATGAACCTATGAACAAGGGAGATCCTCTACCCACAGCAAGCTAAGGCGCCTCCGAGTTGCCACCGAGTGATGGCTGTGCAGAGCAGCACAGGCTGTGTGCCGTCAGGAAGCCCGTGCCCGCACGCACTGGTGTGCAGTCAGTGGACCTGTATCCAAAGTTCTATCAGGCTCTCTTTGGGAAGGACGAAGAAGTTCAAGTTCACAATATCTAACTTTATTATAGTCGATGAGTTAGTGAATTTTAAATAAATGATTTTATATAGACATACAAATCTTTGTAAAATGCGCAAGTGCAATAATTTAAAGAGGTCTTAACTTTGCATTTATAAATTATAAATATTGTACATGTGTGAAATTTTTTCATGTATTCATTTGCAGTCTT